ATGGAGAAAATGACACTGAAAGTTTTTTGAGTTTGCCGATTCACTCTGCAACTGATGCTAGATCGTTTCTACAGTTGTGCTGTTCCTAGTTAATCCCTGAGAAAAATCTATTAATTTTTTATTGGCGAAATTTAATCTATAGCTTAAAATATTTTGCCAACTTTTATCCAACCAGATTTGAAAACTCTCACAACTCGAAAATGAAATTATTTTATGTTTGGAAGCAGACGACAGCAATTGTTAACAGCGCGAGCAATTGTTTTCAGTTATGAAAGGAATAAAATCCCATTAAGATTCAGAATCGTCGACGTTCACCTTGGATCAGTTATAATTGCTGCCAACAAGATTTACACCGAAATAGAAATTTATTTGAAACTTATTTCCCTATTTAAAAATAATTTTTTTTATTTAAAATACTTAAGAAAAAATAATTAAAGATTAAACTAAATATTAAAACCAAATAAAAAACTAAAAAATGCAGTTTATTCTATTTTTAATTACTGTGATTTTGATTTACCAAGCATAAATAAAAATTGTATCTATTTTGCATTCTGAAGTCTTAACTTTTTCACTTCCTCAAACGCTGCGCTAGTATCACGAAAAAGGGTTGTTTGTAGCCAGTTAATAGAATTTTAAGCTGTATTTTTACCCTTAATTAATTAAATATTAATAACTAATAATTAATTATATAATGAATTATTAGTTATTAATATAAATAACATATTAATTATATACCAATAACTATATAATTTAATAATATGTTAATACCTTTCAAACCCCCTCCCCTCCGTGCCGGGATTTGAAACGAAAAAAATTATGGTAACCCTACTTATAAGTGAATCACAAATGTTGTTACTAATAAGTATATGCTTTCATTAATTTATTTGTTGCCATTTTATTAAGCATTAAATTTTTAAACTATATTCAATGATTAATTTTAGAAAGATAAAATTAAAATTAATGGGCATTAACGATATTAATTACGATATTGTTTACCGGAGCCTGTTAAACGCATTGCGGCCGACGGATGGTTAACTTTAACAAAGAACTTAAGTGTAACCTACAAAGAGAGTTCGAATTCGTTTTATACTGAAAACATTTTAGAATTGCATTCTGTAATCAGATACAAAATAGTAATAGATCTCCATGGTTTAAACCGAAAAAATTGTTATACGAAACGGTTTTCCCCCCTTTAATTTAGTTAACCGGGTTGTACTGTACTTTAATTTTCATAATTTTTTTTGTGTGTTTTTTAATACCCATGTAATTTACTTGCACCTCCTCTTGCAAAAACCATAGAGGGAAACCCAATGCGCAAAGCCAGAACAATCTGAACGATTAATCAAAACAAAAACGGAGAGATAGAATATTTAAAGCTTAGACCCCTTGCAATTTATATTATAAGTCAGCATTTATAATTACAAATTCGACGTAACTATATCAAACTTTTTTTTTAAAATTTGTGTAGCAGTTTATGCGTGTAGGCCAAGCATACACGTCCCATGTGGTCTAGTGGTTAGGATTCCTGGCTTTCACCCAGGCGGCCCGGGTTCGATTCCCGGCATGGGAAGAATAGGTTACCATGGTGTAACGGTTAGCACTCTGGACTTTGAATCCAGCGATCCGAGTTCAAATCTCGGTGGAACCTAGTTTTTTGAAGCTTTCAATGAAATAATCCAACCCCCGAAACACGTACTGTATTGCAGGGAAATAATCGCGAAGTGGAGACGTTTTTGCATTTTTTTTCTTTTAAGCCTCCCCAGGAAGGTCAGTGATTAATTTTAGAATGCTAAAATTAAAATTGATGGGTGTCAAAAATATTAATTACGATATTGTTTACCTGTGCCTGTCAGGCGCATTGCTCCCGAGGGAGGGTTAATTTTAATAAAGAACATAAGTGTGGGATACAGAGAGAGTTGAATTCGTCTTACACTCAAAACATTTCAAAATTACGTGCTGTAATTCGATACAAAATAGTAATAGATGTTCTCGGCTAAACAGATAAGTTCATTATTCGAAACGGCTTCCCTCCTTTAGTTCGGTTAACTATGGTTGTACAGTACCTTTTTTTAAAAAATTATTATTTCGAAATAAATGTATCTTCCCACAAAAGTAGTTAGATAATAAGAGTTCTGGCGCTTCGGGGGCCGGGGGCCCCACTCCCTTCCCCTCCCGCCTTTCTCCCACCCGCCTTCCAGCCGAGTTCAGATAAGGAATGTGCTTGAACTTTAACTCCTCTTAAATTAGATAAGAATTATGATAAGGAATTTATTTTTATTTTCGGACTTTGAAAATTTTTGAGGGATTTTTCTCGTCTTATTTCTTTTACAAAAGTTTGATTTTATTGACTTAGATTTTTCTTTTCACAACGTCCTTTCACAGATTTGCATCAATTCAATCATAACTTATCATGCGTGCATTAAAATAAAATATTTAAATATAAAATGAACTTAATAATTTGATACTTACAATCTTAATTCCTTTTTTTTCTGTTTTTAGAGACTTTGAATTTTCTCAGCTTTTGAACAGAATTTCATCAATTAGAGTTAAACTTTCAATCTTATTCTATTTTTCGGCATGCTCATTTTTCTTTTTTTCGTTATCGAATAACGTTTTTCGTTTGTTTTCAGGAAAATTTCAAAACTTGCGCATTTTCTGTTCTTAAATAACAAAAAGTTTACTTAGTCGCTAATTCTCATAAAATCTGTTTTTTAATTAAATCAGTTTTATAAGAATAATTCTTCGAATGATCCAACTTGGATTTATTTTTCTTTCATCATTCAACTTTCCTCTTTGCTTCAAGCTTATTTTTCCACTAACAAACACAATTTTAGAATATTCTAACAATAACATACAAGAGCACTAAAAATCACTTAGTTTGAATAAGTTAACTTGAAATTCCGTTTTTAACTGTTTCAGGAATATCAAAACGTTAAACTCTCTTAAAGTTAAATGGAAAATTTGAATCTTGAACGAGAAAATGTTGGCATTATTTTTTTTTCTTTCCGAATTCACTTCAACATCGACGAAATAGCTTCATTTATATTAACCATTAAAGATCACTTTTTTTTTCTGTTGAACATATAACGTATCTATAAAGACATTGCATTTTACGTCGAATGACGCTAAAAGGGCTACATTAAACGTCACAAATGCATTGATTCATCACAAATCATTTTATCTTAAAAATTTAGGAATCATTCATCATACTTAACTCTAAAACTATATAAAAAATTCCACTAATCTAAAATTTTCGCCTATTAACTGATTAAACATATCTTTCTTTCGATACTTAAAAAAATTTCGAGTGATTTCTGCTTTTACGAACTTATTTTGACTTTCTCCTTAATTCCTTATTTCTTTTAATCTTATATTATTTCACAAACTATTTATTCTATTTAATTAATTATATGTATTTTTTCTAACTAATTTTTCTTACATGACTGAAATTCATTTTCGATTTTTTAAAACACATTTCTTCGAATGATGAAAACGATCATAGAATATTCTATCAATAACATAGAAGAAAAATAAAAATCTCTTTGGTTTGAATAAATTAATGAAACTCATGTTTTACATTCTAATTCCTTTTTCACATAGATCAAATAAATTTAGTCTCGACAATTTTAACCACCACCAAAGAACTTTTTTCTGCATGCGTGTTTAATTCACGAAGACTCTATGTGTGTGTGTTTGTGCACGCATGTGTGTGTTTTATTCACGAAGACTCTGTGTGTGTGCATGTGCGCGTTTAATTCATGAGGTGTGTGTGTGCATGTGCGCGTTTAATTCATGAAGTGTGTGTGCATGTGTGTGTGCGTTTGTGTGTGTGTGTGTTTGTGCGTGTGTGTGTATTTGTGTCAAACTCATGTTTTACATTCTAATTCCTTTATTCATTTCGATCAAATAAATTTAGTCTCGACAATTTGTGCATGTGTGTGTGTGTGTTTGTAGGAAACTCGTGTTTTTACATGGATCAAATAAATTTTGTCTCGCCAATTTTAACCACCAAAGAACTTTTTTTTGCATGCATGTTTATTTCACGAAGACTCTGTGCGTGTGTGTGTTTGTGCATGCATGTGTGTGTTTAATTCATGAAGTGTGTGTGTGTTTGTGTGTGTGTGTGTTTGTGTATGTCTGTGTGTGTTTGTGCGTGTGTGTGTTTGTGCATGTCTGTGTATTTGTGTCAAACTCATGTTTTACATTCTAATTCCTTTTTTCATTTCGATCAAATAAATTTAGTCTCGACAATTTTAACCACCAAAGAACTTTTTCTGCTTGCATGTTTAATTCACGAAGACTCTGTGCGTGTGTGCATGAGTGTGTGTGTGTGTGTGCGTGCATGCATGTGTGTGCATGCGTGTGTGAGAGATATTATTTTATCATTTGAGAATATTCCGCATAGTTAATTCTAATAATTGCTTACTCTGTGTCAATCCCACATGAAACATAGCTAGTTTGATTAATTTTTTTTTAATATGCTCCAAATTCACTCTACTTTTGAAAATATTTTTTCAATGACGAATGCAATTATTAACAATCATATTAAAAATCTCTTTGGTTTGATTAAGTTTTTCTTACTTAGTTAAATTTGTTAAAATTTAACTTAAAATTTCAATTTTCTACCAGTTTCAAAAATATCAAAACATAAAACTATTTAAAAGCTGACTGTTTTAGATGAAAAACTATTTAACTGAAAGATTTAAACCTCATTCAAACACTTCGAGATTGAACTTTTTACTTAAACTTAAAACTTTTTACAATGTTTAAACAACACAAGCATCTTTATTGAATCTTTCTTTCTCACACATATGGTAAATCAGCTGACTTACAATTTTTCAAAGATTGACAGAAAATTAATCATTTTAAAGCATAATTAACCTCAGCGCATTCACTTAAATATTCACACACTTTTATGAATCTTGTAATTTCAAACTCAATCTACGTTTGAACATATTTTTTTCCCAATGACTAACACACTTATCGACGAAATATAAAAGCAATCATTAAAAATATCTTAGGTTTGTGAGAATAGCAAAAGATAAAACTATTGATCACTTCTAGATAATTATATCCTTCTTTTTCAGACTTGGAATTATGTTAACTGTGTGAATACTTTACATAAATTTTTTTCTATCAAAATAAAACATTTAAACTTAATGAAAAGTTCAATGCATTGACTTGAATAGTTGAATTCATTATTTCTGTTGTTAGTTTTTTATATTAATTTTTATACAACAAGTCTTTGACATATATCTGTTTATGCTTGTTAATCTTTGATTCTGTTAACACTCTTTCACATGTATAAATATATTTCTGTTAATAATATTAAAAATTTTTCTTTCTTTGCACTTTTCAGGAAGATTTTAGAAAACCAGCGGGAGTGGTCTCCCCTAAACTTTCTCGTATACTCCTAACACATGTAGAGAAAACTAGAATAATAAAAGGCGTCAAATAAACTTCCGTCGCAAGTAAACCAAAGTTGGAACCACGCGTGGTTTGAAGGATCAAAACAAATTCAAATCCTCTGCTCATTCTTTTGCGCAACAGGACCTGGCGAGACTCCCTAAATGTTTGCTTCCTTACAAAATCGCTCAAGAATTTGTTTTCGGCAAACTGCCAAGTTTCGGAGCGTCCCTTCTTTGCACAGGCATTGCCACTAGTAGGCATGCTCAGGGAGTTAGTTTCAAAACTGAACAAGTATGCGTTTATACAGACAGACAGACAGTCAACCCTTTGACGGATTTGGCCCAAAATTTTATACGTACCTACATTCATGACGATAAAACTGTGTATAAAATTTTATCCATCTGGCTTTTCAAGTTTTTGAGTTATAGCGTTCGCATGACCCCGAACATACAGACAGGCAGACTTCCCGTTGACGGATTTTGTCCAAAATTTGATAGAAACCTACAAATTATGTTTAAAGACCACATACCAAATTTCATCCCCGTAGCTCTAATAGTTTTCGAGTTATCGTGTTCACAGACAGACATAATTCCAAAATTGTGTTTTTCGGACTCAGGGAGGTCTAAAACGTGGAGATTCGTCAAAATCTCGAGTTCGAATTTTTTGACGATTACAATACTTTCTCTTTGTATACTTCGTATACGAGAAAGTAAAAAGAATTTGTTATGAATTTTCAAAGCTTACCTTGATTCCAGAAAATTAATCGTTTCGATACATTATTAATCTTAACATTAACTATTATAATGTTTTCCGTCCTGCATTTCCTTATATCACGAACACACCAAAGTGTGTCTAATTAAGTTCAGCATTCATTTCTCATTATTATCTCTTATCTGTCTTTTAAGTTCCAAAATGTTTTCATTCACATGACTATTTCCCTATCAAATGCCTTAAGAAAATGGATTACTCACCATCTCATGCTAATAATGCTCTCTTTGATAAAAGTTATCGAGAATCTTCCAATATAGTCTTAAGAAAATGAATTACTCACTATCATGTATTAATAGAAAATTCTTGACAACGTTTCATTTAGATAAAAGATATATCATTGACCGATGAATTTCTTAAATAATGACATACATGAGAAAAAGTTCATTCTGCTTTCTTCGAGTCGCATTTGAAAATGGAGTCAACTGAAGCTGCTTTAGAAAACCTCTCGTCTATTATCACTATTCCAGG